CTCTTTTGCGTTTGACATTGCCAGATTCCATAAATGTTCCACTTTTTTTTTTTCCAATCTGCTGACACCATAGGTTAGCATTCTTGTACGTCTGGGATACTGAGATTCTGCTCCCGTTCTACGGATAGACACTTCGGTAACAACAAGCACAACATTCACCCTCATGATTATTTTGAGAATTTGAATACAAGATTAGTAAATCCAGAGAAGGCTTTTGGCCTAATGTTCTTAGTTCCCTGTGTTGAGGAAACTGCGAAGCCTCATTTGATGTCTGCAGAGAGAAAAGTGGCAAATGGGGCCTTCGCAGCCTTCTTGTGGAGTTGTTTCCTGGTGTGTGTGTCTGTGTGTGTGTTTGTGTTTTAACCTGGAGACTGTGCTGTCTCAGCAGTCGGGCGCTCAGCAGCCCTGCGTGGGAGATGCTGAGATTAAAGGGCACGAGCCTGGGAGGTGCATCTCCTGGGCTGGAGCCTCGGGGTCGGTGCTTGACCCATGGGGTAGAGATCATGTTCAGATGCTACATGAACTAGGAGGGACGTTGTCCCGTTTTCTCTTTGTATTGATGCCAGGCTTGAGTTTATTTAACCTAGAAAAGCACTTGTCAAAGCTGCTTGCCTTCCACCGGTAGGCTTCATAACTTTGGTCTTTCTTCCCACACTCAGCACAAGGCAGCGCAGGAGGCCCAGTGAGAATGCACAGAGCATAGCTTGCCTCGTGGCAGGTGCTGCCTTACAGCTTTTCCTCCTGTGCAGACCTGCCTTTACCCCACCCCTCACAGGATCCACCAGACACTTCTAAGTTGTTCTGATAGGTGCTTCTTGTTATTGTTGTTAGTCTATGAGGGACTTTCTGTTACTAATTATGTGCCAGTCTCTACGTAACCAGCCCTTCTGCTACTCTCATTGGTATAGACCAAACATCCACCTGTTGATGACTGTACACTCTGTATTCATCAGCTCTTTGCTGCTACAATGAAATGCCCGAGACAGGCTGTTTCTGATGGAAAGAGAAGTTTATTTAGCTCACGGTTCTGGAGTCTTAAAGTGCAAAGGGCCTGGTGATTGAACAAAGGCAGATGGCAGAGCCTGTGTGGAGGATGGAGGGTGTGGTGAGCCACGAAGCAGAGAGAAATTGGAAGGCCAGACTCAGGCTTTTACAGCAACCCTCACTGAAGAACTCACGTGGAACGGCTTCTGAGGGCCTCTAAGGGCTTCAGGACCCACCCCCTAGGCCCACCGACTAAAGGTCCCACCGCCCAGTAGTGCACCCTGGGGACCAAGCCTTGGGCATAAGAACCTTTGTGGGGATACCCTGGCTACTATGCAAACCGCAGCGAACACTATGACGTGATAGGGAATAGAGTCGCAAGCCTCAGTTTGCAGCATACTCTCTGGTCCTCAGTTGCTCCTGTTTGTGGGTGTTCCTTTCATTGTTTCTCACTTGCTCACCCTCTCGACCTCTTTGTGTCTCCCTTACTGTCCCTCCGAAATCTTTGAAGGAAAGGTATTTTTCCGCTCCAAATGTTCCAGTCATTTCCTACTGGCAAAATGACCGTTTTTCATCAGCTGTCTTGACTATATGCAAGTTTAATGAGGCTGGTATAGTAATCTCATCTAAATTGGTTGACATGTTCCTATGACAAAAAGTCTCACATTTTAACACATGAGGGCTTTTGGTGTACATTTCTATTTGCACAAATATCTGTTAGAACTCAGGCTCATAGCACCTTATAAGTACCTGGCATTTGTACAAATACCCACTGAGTGCATGAATACAACGTAGCAGACATGATAAGGTCACAAACACACACATATCAAGAGTAGTTACAGCAGTTTACAGATACATATTGTTTAATATACTCAAGCTAAGTTTGTTTTGATTCAAAAAATTTAAAATCCAAGGCTATTTTTTCATGCCATGCATTTTTTCATGAACGTTTTGAAGTCCCCGTCTATGTGTGTATGTTTATAGATCTCACTGGATTCTCACACAGCCTTCGCCTAGGTTTCCCCCAAAGCGAGGCCTGAGACCATGGCAGGCATGCAGGAAGTTTATTTAGGAAGTGGTCCCAGAGAGTGGCCGAGGAGGACAGGCGAGGGAGGAGGGAGGGCCGGTCCCAACACGTGGACTCGGTCACCACTGCTGCAGCTGCTGGGAGAAGCCCACAGGACTTGAGGAGCCCTCAGAACTAGTGATCTGCCCCCAGTGGGCAAGCATGGCCCAGAAGCCGGTGACACCCTCAGCCAAGGGTCACGCCGAGGGAGTTCCCACTCGTGTCCCAAGGGAACGTGGATTCCAGTTGATCCGAGCAGGGGGCCGGGATCTGCAGCAACGCCCAATGCTAGAAGAGGTGGGGCCCAAAGGGTTGGAAGCAGCCACGGGAAGTGTTCTCTAGGATAGCAGAGGGATACAGGGGGTACTTCAGAGAGGTCGTGGGAGATGGTGTTTAAGGGAAAATTTATTTTGGTGCGAAAAAAAAATTTAAAGCCATACATACAAGGAATGCTTATGGAAAATGCCTGTTATAAAAGAACTAGGCCTGGGCATTGTGTTTATTTTTTTTTTTTCACCAAAACTTTTATTTCCATTAACTGTCTGGTATCCCCTCAGACTATCTGACCCCTTTTATAAAGGAGCAACCCAAGGTTCAGGGAACTTGGATGCGCCCCCTTGAGTGCTGTGGAGCAGGGCTGCAGCTGAGAGGCAGCAGACTGGGCCCAGAGATGCTGGGAGACATGGAACGGTGTGTTGGTTATGGCCCAGAGTCGGCAGCTTGCTGCTGTGGGCGTTATGGGAGAGAGGAGAGCCGTGGTGGTAGCCAGCATTCTGAAAATGGCAGTGCTCCGTCCCCCACCTCACCCTGCCCCCGTCTGTGGGGGAAAGTGGTTGGAAAGAAATTCCCTTCTAACCTCAAGCGGTCTTCTGCCATTCCTGTGTTCCTGGGGATAGTTTAGATCCTCAGTTTAGGAGGTAATAATGATGTTTTTTCCTATGGAAGTAGAAAGAAAATATAACCCTATTCCCTTTGGTAATGCACTGAATTGTAAATGATTACAAATAATTGAAATTCAGCTCTTGGAAAGACACAGATGAAATCAGGCCACAATATAATATGCTAGGAGTTTCTCTTTTAAATAAAACTGAAGTGCTCTTGCCTTGCTGAATTTAAAGTACACCGAAAGAAAGAAAAGGAAAGTGAGCAACAATTCAGTGTCTCTCTGTGCCTGCTAACACTGAAGCTTGTGTCTCTCCACACCTGGATGCACATGCGTGTGCTTGGGAGATACAAAGCACACTTCGCACTTCTCTGTGGAGTGACAGACATTCAGATGCTTCAGGATGGGGCAGGCCTGAGAACCCAGTGATGTTGAACTCACGGTCTAAAGGAAGATGCTAGGGCTTGGGGCACAGTGCTAGCCAGTGGCAGAGTACAGATGACAGTCTCATCTCCAAACGCATCATCTAACACTGACCACTGCATGACAGACCTGCACGCACTCTAAGAAGTGCACTGAGTGCTGACGGTGTCAGCTTTTTTGCTTCTGTGATGAAATGCTCTGCTGTGGAGGCTGTTTTTGTGCCCTCCACCCCGGCGTCTTGGATGGGTTTGCTCAAGTCCTGGGCAGACCTCTGAGGGTTAGGCCGTATGACCATCTTTGAGACAGGCTTTATTTTTTTTTCTGTTGAACTTAAACTAAATGTGCATGGTCACAATGACTGTACTGAATGGCAAGAAAAGGGAAAAGGCTAAAGAAATTTGGATGGCTTTTGTCTGGAAGACACTCCAGGAAAACTAGAATGCTGCCATTTACGCAGACAGCAGGAAGCCTGTGTTGTTTCTTTTTTAAGAAGCACGGGGAGTGGACTTGGAATGCTTGAGAAATCTCTGAATTGGGTCATGTGTGCCTCTCTGGGTGCTGCTGTCTCTAGATAGACGCCAGACAGGCCTTCCTATTTCTTTAACTCCTCCCGCTGGCTCCCAGAGGTGGAAAGAATTCCCCTGGGCAGAATCTTTGAGTTAGTAGTGGGAGACGCTCAGGGTCCCCAGGACTGATTTGCAGGACGCTCAGCGGTAGCCCATGCTGCCTTGTCTGTGACGAGGTGCTCCTGGCCCACGGTCCCCACGTGTGTTTTCCAGGTTACTGTCAGCACAGGTGGCAGCATTCCTGCGAACCAGTCCTGTCCTCTTGCCTGAGCCCCCTTTGGTCTCCTTTACCCTGGTGTAGATGGGTGCTCTCCTGCACACCGAGGGCCCTCAGGCCAGGTGATTGCGGCCCTGTGTGACCCTAGGAGGGTCCCCAAGCAAGACTCACACCCAACAGTGTGTTCAGACAAAAAGTGTGTTCTTTTGGCTTTCATGGCCATGAAGCTCTGACTGTAGTTCTCTCTTTTTTTCATTCATTCCTCTTGTTACAGTTGCAGTTCATGCTGTTTTGAGCTGTTTAAGGGAAACCCCACCCCCTCTGTTTGATTAAATTGTCTCTCCTTTGACCTCTGGTTCAGTTCCCGTTCTCCCAAGTGTTTAAGGCTACAAGTTTTTTTCATATTTTCATATTTATTTACATAATTTCAGTCCCCTTGTGTGTACGTATTTTAAGGAATTGTACATCCGCCTGGGCTTTGCAAAAGCTAAAAGTGACCAATCTTTTCATAACTCACATTGGAAGCACAAATTGTTTAACTGTGCTATGCTTTTGCACATTAATCTTTAAAGCTGTAATAAATTTTTAAGTATTTTAACAAGCTTTTTTTAAGCCTGAAAAGCAGCTTTTTAAATAAAGAAGACAACATTCAATGCCCATATAACATAGCAAGATCTAGAGTATTAAGGATATTATGGCTTTTTACTAATGACAACTTATGTTCATTTCTCCATCTGAAATTTGACAGGTGATGTATTATGTGTGTATCAACATATTTACTGTTTGCTGTTTGAAAATTTGATTGTTAAGCTAGAATTGCTATTCACTTAAGCATGCCCTACTTCTCTCTGTGGCTCGCAGTCCAACAAGAACGTTCTGGAACCACATGCGCTGTGCTCTGTGGATGATTGTCGTTTGGCACTACTGAGAGGAGAGACTTGACTGGGAACTGCAAATGGTGATTATGACTTTGGGCAAATCATTGAGCTTCTAATTATGTCTTCCAAGGCCTCCTGACCCGAAATGAGAGAGTATCTTACCGCAAAATACATGTTGTGTCGAACTTCTCATTACAGAATACAGTTCTGGGGATGATGATGTTTCTGACTCGTTTTTAGAAGCAGTTTGTCAGGTTTCTGTTTCGGGGCATGTCAGTCACATTGGTGTTGGGGCCAGTGGCTGAGTAGTAAGGCAGATGCAAGATTTGGCCCTAAAATGACAGTGTCACTGCTCCACGTGGAATTTTATTTCATGAAGTTGTACTCTAAGAAGGAATTCCTTTACATAAAGGTGTGGATGTGGCACCTGGAGTTACACTGCACCTCAGAAGACCTTTCTTAGAACATCTGTGAAACTGTCCCAGTCATGGGGCCCGTTTTGTCACCTATCATGTGACTCAAACGTTACCTGCTAAATAGTTTCTTTTGGGAAAAACTCTTCACTGTCCTTTTCCCACTGTAAGATCTTTACTTTGACTTGTAAATGTTGGGCCATATTAGAACTCAACCTTTAACAATAACGTAAGTGTTGTTAAAATTAAATTCTGTCTGAGACATCATGTTGTGCCAAAGAACCACACACCAAAGAGTAGTTACTTTATGCTCTGTTCGCATGAACTTCAAGGGTACAGCAAATGATTCAGTAGTGATAGAAATCAGAATGACAGCTTTTGGGTGAGAGGAGTTCAAGAGGGGTTTCACAAGGGAAAGATGTACAAAAATTAAATGTTGGACAAATTTTGCTATGACACTGAGGCCCTAATTACTGTGGACTGTTCTAAATATCTCTGCCTACAGCTTTCATCTGGGCCTATCCAGACAAAGCCTAAACAAATGAACTCAGAGAAGGTAACTCTAAAGGGATGGCAGAGAACTGTGGTTAAACCATACCAGCTGCTCAAAGAGGGTTAAAAGTGTACAGTTAGGTAAATTAGTAATTTAACATTCCGAAACATGATTCTTTCCGGATCAAGCATAAAAGGCATTTGCTCTTGGAAAACCAAGAAAGAATTCATGCAGTTCCCATTAGTCTAAAAATAAATAATAAATAAATAAATGTCTGAGTCATGTATTGCACTTTGTTGGATTCAGTGGCTTCAAGTGTAGGAAGACAGTCATTTAAGCTATGAAAATGTTCTACCCATCACCGCCTTGAATGAACACAAAATCACTCTGTGAGCAACATCAGATAGATTAATTGATTGGATTTCATGCCGAGTTTCTTCAAGGCAAATGTTTCTGACTTGAGCAACAATACAGAAGCTAGAGAGAATAGCTTTATTCATGTTGAATTGAATTGGGAAAGAAGTTATATTGCTGAGTTTCGAAGCTGTTGAGTTATTATAGCACTGGTTTGAGAATTAGACACATCTGGGTGTGAATTCATCTCCGCTGCACACAGTTCCCAGCTTAAAATCTTTTAACTTTGCACTTGTTGATGAAACAGATATATAAATGCTTACTGTGCCATGTTAGTGTGAAAATTTAAATCGAACAAATTAGCACAGTTCCCAGACTGAGCCAAGGCACCCTTGATCCTTGCAGCAAACTGATAGGAGCACTGGGAGACAGTTCAAACGTTCATGGGAAACCTAATGATGCTCAGTATCCATCAGCTAGATACATAGCTCCAAGTAACTTGCAGTTTCAAAACTAATAGATTGTGCCTCTGTGCAAAGCCGGGTGTTTGTTGGTTGCTGTTAATAAAAAGCAAGTACAGCAGGAATGTCAGCATCAGGTAGTAATGAGAATTGGGTCTGATTTCACAGTGTGAGGGGCTGGGCGTACTAGGCAAATCTATTCCATTTTGAAGTCACTGAAATTGCTTAAGAAAAAAGTAGTTGTTTTCTTTCAATTCATGTGTATTTGTGTTTCCAAATGGCTACTAGTTGGACACAAGTACTAAGTTGTTTGACCCTATGTGCTTAATAAATGTAACCGTTAGGTATTTCTTCTGGTCTGCATGTAATGTGAAAAAATACTTCATCAGACACCAAGAGTGCTGTGAGCTGAGACAGTCTGACATCTTATATAGAACCTTGCATTTGATAAGACCTAAGCTTAGTCAACCCTGTCCCCTCCCATGCCTCATCTAGACACTATCTTTAATTGTTCTCTTTGCTTTAATATGTTTATTGAAAAACTAGTAAATTGAAAAGAACGAGCACATTTCATAAGGCCTTCATTAAGATACACTCTGATATTTTCCTAACTTCTGTATCCATTAAGAAAAACAACCATGTTCCTTTTAAGCAAATTGGTCAGCACTGTGTCGCCTTTGAGACGAATGACTTTTACTAGCATGGGACTGCCAATAGCTTCTTCCCAGAGCAGCCTGCAGCGTCCTGTGGGACGGCGAGGCTGCTGCGGGCTGGTGTGACTTGGGCAGCATCACGGAGGTGCGGAGCGTGTGCCAGGTTTATAAACGCAGTGTGGCCCGTGTCTGCCTGGGATTTGTGCTTCGCATGCTTACCATTCTCACATGTTCGGTTTTACAATATTAAGTTATACAGAAGAGCCAAATGCGCTTGAATTCCCCAGCAATTTGGAAAGTCAGTTTTCAGTGTGATTCTCCAAATGCTTGTGGTGAAAGTACAAGGGACCCGAATCATTTTCCCATAATTAGTTTCAGTTCTGGAGCCTGCACGACGGCTCCAGCGGAAGCTAGTGGAAAATTCCTGTCCCCTTCCGTGGCGCGGCCATGAGTGGTGAAAGCATTGCCATTCAGAACTGACTTTTCCTTCTGCCTGCTGGGATTTTCACTCAAAGAGAGGAGGACCAGCATTTCACGTGATAGTTCCCTACTTATTGATGCGGCGGCCGGCCCCTGCTGCTCCGTCCATGGGGTCAGATTTCCACATCTGAGAGTGTGTTCTGAGTGCACCCGTCTTCTCATAGAGCCACAGCGATCCCAGTGCACACAAGTCCCTGGAGACACCCACCCCAGCTGACTCACTAGGTGGGAACCAGGGACCAGGGCGCACTGGAAAAAGGAGCAGTGGCAGAGGGGTGCCTATTGTTAGGTGGGTTTGTTTGTTTCTATCAAAACATGAGTCATCTCACCCCCCACCCTGGGTGTTTAACTTAACCAGAGCTCACTGTGGTTTCGTCTGTAATTTGGTCTTGACTCCTACAGGCCAGTTTAGTTTTATCAGCGGTGGCAAATTCTTGAAAGCTTCCTTCAGTTGTAGAAATTGAGTTTCAAATGGAAGTGGCCCAAGTGCCAGCTAAAACTTTGTGGCTGAGTGTCTTCATCAAACCCACCCAGCGTCAAGACCCACACTGGAGTTTTGGCTGCTTGATGGGACTCAAATTATGAGTAGTTGGTTCCTCTGGAATCTTGGCCCCATCCTGGGGTGGCTTTAGGAATCCAAAGTTAGCACATAAGTGAAGGTTTTGACCCACACGCCTTTCCTGCCTCCCAGCCTTTTCCCTGCAGTGTGTGCACCTAGCAGCCTCTCTGGCTCTCAGAACCTCTCACATCAGCCGTGCTCTGCACCAGCAGCTCTGCTCAGGCTGTGGCACCCATGTGGTGTGTTCCCGTGCTCCTGGTAGCTGATGAAAAGGCAAGATGCGGGGGGTCATTTGGCACAGAGTTAAAGATGCTGCTTGGGATGCCCATATCCCATATTGGAGCGCCTGGTTTTGAGTCAGGGGGCCATTTCCCATTCCAGTTTTCTGTAAATGCATATCCTGGGTGGCAGCAGGTCATGGCTCCAGTAGTTGCGTTTCTGCCACATATGTCAGAGATGCAAACTGAATGCCCAGCCTTCAAGTGTTGCAAGTGTTTGGAGGGGTGAACCAGTAGATGTGTGTGTGTGTGTGTGTGTGTGTGCGTGCGTGTGTGCTTTCTGTCTTTCAAATAAATAAGTAAATGCATTTTTCTTTACGAAGATGAAAAACATGCATAAAAAAGATGCAAGATCAGACCGGCTGACTTTGAGATGTAGCAAGAATACTCAGTGGATTTTCAGTGACAACCCTGGGTCATATACTTGAAACATGATTCCATTTAGGAAGGTTTGCAAAGAAAGAAAGAAAAATCTTGGTGCTCAAGAAGCAAGTTCTAATCTGGAAAATGTGTGTGTAGCAAGCATCTCTAAGAAAGAAATGAACATTTTGTTGGGGGTTGGGGTGGATGGTGTGAAAGACCAGAGGAAGCGGCGAATGGACACTTGGACCTTTTCTTTTGTTCTTTAATGTTGGTGCACTTGGTCTCTCCTTAGCCATCTGTTGTACTTATTTCAGTTTCTCCTTGTTAACATCTGATTGTAACCTCGGGGACATTTATTATGTTTCAGCAGTACTTAAAGTTACTGAAATGACCTATTCCTCCAAAATTCTTTCTGGGCACCTGTGGAATAAACACTAAGACTGCTCCTCAACATATTTTCTAGAGAATGGATTTCATTAGAAGGTGGACTAGGCTTGGAACCCATTCAAGGCAGCTTGAAGCCAGCCACCCCAACAGCACAAATTCCAAAGGTATCAGTACAAAAACAATGCATGTGCTTCCCTATTAAGAAGTGTCAGTGTTGATTTCCAAAACGAACAGAAATGTCTGTAAATCTCATGGGTTTGTAAATTCTGTTATACAGTGAAACACTGCACAGGAATGGGAAAGAGCCATAGAGGTAATAAAACAGACCAAAAAATGTGCATTGTGTTGTTCCAATTATGTGAAATTCAGCACTTAGCAAAGTTCACCTATGGTGAGTGATGGAGGGCAGCACAGGGGCTGGCACTGGAAAGAGTCGGTGTGTTGCAGGAGTGTGCATACGTAGCAATTTTTCCAGCTATACACTTGGGGGTGTGTACACTTTCCATAGTTTATGACTCAAGAAGAGGATGCTGGGTTCTGTAAACCAGATGCAGAACAGCTGAGAGTGTGCAGCTCAGCTGAGCACTGGTCTACATGGAAGAAAGGCCTGGGTGGACTTTGTCCAGGCACCTGTGGAGCAGGGATCCTGTATGAAGGAACGCAGCAAGAGCCCGCCCGAGGCTGCTTTAGCCCACCCCTTCTTCCTCCAGTGTGGTCTTCAACGGTGCTGCCTTTCGATGTTGCCGACTCATTTGCTTACTGGTGGCCATTCCCTTCTCTGAAAACACAACTGGTTATGTGCTGTCCTCCCCAGACTTTGCTGGCTGTGGTGCCTGAGCGTCTTGGGGTGGCAGAGGGCGACAGGGGCTGTGCGTGCGTCTCTGGAGCCGCAGGCAGGTCAGCGTGAGAGGGACAAAGTTGCATTCAGGGGAGGCCCAGCCCTGCAGGTCACACCACATCTTGCGGGATGGACACGGTAATAGCTGTGAGATGGGTCCCGTCTCCCTGTATCGGTTCTTACTCCTGTGAGCCCTGTGCAGTGTCACCATGGCAGGGGCTGGGGAAATCGTGTGGATTTTTTTTTTTTTTTAAATCTAAATCTTGAGAATCTTTCATTGTAAGAAACTCTGAAGGGAAGAAGCTTTATGGTAGTTTTGCCAGTCGTGTATGTCCTGGTGCCTCTCTCTGCTCAAGCCCCTTCCACTCCAAAGGAAGAAGGGAGAGTTGCAGAATTCACCAAGACAAAGCGGCCACAACATGTGCACCTGGCAAATGCCAGCGGCTCCACACCACCACAGTGGTGAGCTGCAGCGCTGCCACCAGCAGCCCTCTGCAGTAACTACTGCCTGCAAGAAGTGTGAGAGGGGCCTCTCTCCCTGTGACCTCTCATGACTGCCAGCAGAAGGGGCAGTCTCTTCTCTGCAAGAACCGCCCTACACTTTGCAAACAGGTGAGGCATGCTGGCTTCCCAGAAAGGAGCTCCAAGCCCCTGGTTTCTGAGGAGGTCGGCGAGTGCAGGTCAGAGGTCTGCTTGCCCCGTTACTGTCCGTGGCTACTGGGCCTGGACTCTGGGCCGACCTTCACCGCTGAAGGTGTGTCAGTCACTTAAAGCTGAAATGACGGAGAGGTCCCAGTTAAGTAGCAGGAGGTGCTTATCCATCCGTTTTCCCTCCTCTCTTTTTCTTCTCTGTCCTGAGTCTGTGCACCCTAACGGTGGTGCTGTTTGGGGTGAGGAAGAGGAAGGAAGGTGGCACAGCACCTGTCAACCCCAAACAGTACAGCTGTGAAACCTGTGTGGCATGGAGCATGCTGGTCACACAGCAGCAAATAAAGTATCCACATTAAAACCACACGTGAATTCATGATGTTATTAGTCAGGCGGCAGCCATATATGAAGTTACAGACCATGAATTGCACATCTCCCTCGACCAATTGCTACTTGAGCACTAATCTGGACTTGTTAAGCTTCAATTTTATCCCAACCATCACTGCTTTTCAGAATATTTCACTGTTACGGTTAAGTTAAAGACAACTCTGGTCAGGGATTCTTGTTAACCTTTATTACATTAAAGACAGATAAATCTTAAAAAAAAAAATAATAATAGATGACTTTTCAGTGTGGGAGGAAACTGTTGAAATCTTTACTTAATGTATGCTAAACTGATCTTCTGTATATAAAGAGAATTGAAAATGAATCCTCATGTGAATGGAAGGGGAGAGGGAATGGGAAAGGGGAGGGTTGCAGGTGGGAGGGACGTTATGGGGGGGAAGCCATTGTAATCCATAAGCCGTACTTTGGAAATTTATATTCATTAAATAAAAGTTAAAAAAAATTAAAAAAAAAACAGAAATTGAAGGATCTATTCCTTACTAGTTAAAAATGATAAGGAATTTCACAGGCATGTCCCAAATATTAAACATAGACAATTAGCTTATGGTTGAAATTTGATAGTTTTATGTTACTCAGCAAAATATTATACTCTCTGTAGCTACATTTTTGCACCAAAATTTCCCATTAAGAAGACCAGTTTGTTGGAGAAATTTTTAAACAACATCTGTACATAATAAATTTTCAAGATTCCAAAGTGTAATGACATTCAAAGTAATACTTCAATTATCTTCAGTCTAATGTTTACAGTTATCCGGTAGATAACAAAGAATTGATATTATCTGTTAATTCCAGAAATCTAATGGCAGAGAAAATTCCTTCTGGAACCCAAAAGAAATAGTACCTCTTAGGAATTCTGAGTCTTTTCCTACCCAAGACATGCAGACTGACTGGCTAACCCCGATGTGCCCGCTCAGAAGGCCGTTCGGGGAGACCCTTTAAATATTCTTTTAGTTTGTCTTCTATAAAAGAACTCACAGGAGATGTGTTTCTGCAGAGAGGCAGTAAAGGACTGGACACGGTGGCCCGACCCTTTTTGCTTTTTGCCTCTTTCACCATTGCAGGCCCTTGCGGCCCTGCACCTTCAGAGTGCGAGGCCTTTGGGCCACCTGCCCCGTGCTTTCTGGCCTGCAAGCTCCTCCCCTGTGGCTGGCTCCCGGCGCTCGGTATGAATCCAGATTCCCCTTTCCTTTTTAGGTAGGGCCCTCACTCTCCTATGCCTTTCTCTCACTGAGTAAAAAGCTTAAAAACTTAAAAAAAGAAAGAGAGAGAAAGTGAGAGAGAGAGAGGAAGGAAGGAGGGAGGGAGGGAAGGAGGTAGGGAAGGAAGGAGGGAGGGAGGGAGGGAGGGAGGGAGGGAAGGAAGGGAGGAAGGAAGGAAGGAAGGAAGGAAGGAGGGAGGGAAGGAAGGGAGGGAAGGAAGGACGGAAGGAGGGAGGGAGGGAGGGAGGGAAGGAAGGAAGGAAGGGAGGAAGGAAGGAAGGAAGGAGGGAGGGAAGGAAGGGAGGGAGGGAAGGAAGGAGGGAAGGAAGGAGGGAAGGAAGGAGGGAAGGAGGGAGGGAAGGAGGGAAGGAAGGAGGGAGGGAGGGAAGGAAGGAGGGAGGGAGGAGGGAAGGGAGGAGGGAAGGAAGGAGGGAGGGAAGGAGGGAGGGAAGGAGGGAGGGAAGGAAGGAAGGGAGGAGGGAAGGAAGGAGGGAGGGAAGGAGGGAGGGAAGGAGGGAGGAAGGGAGGAGGGAAGGAAGGAGGGAAGGAAGTAAGGAAGGAAGGAAGGAGGGAGGGAGGGAAGGAGGGAGGAAGGGAGGAAGGAAGTAAGGAAGGAAGGAGGGAGGGAGGGAAGGAGGGAGGGAGGGAAGGAGGGAGGGAGGGAGGGAGGGAAGGAAGGGAGGGAAGGAAGGACGGAAGGAGGGAGGGAGGGAGGGAAGGACGGAAGGAAGGAAGGAAGGAAGGAGGGAGGGAAGGAAGGGAGGGAGGGAAGGAAGGAGGGAAGGAGGGAGGGAAGGAGGGAAGGAAGGGAGGGAGGGAAGGAAGGAGGGAAGGAGGGAGGGAAGGAGGGAAGGAAGGAGGGAGGGAGGGAAGGAAGGAGGGAGGGAGGAGGGAAGGGAGGAGGGAGGGAAGGAGGGAGGGAAGGAGGGAGGGAAGGAGGGAGGGAAGGAAGGAAGGGAGGAGGGAAGGAAGGAGGGAGGGAAGGAGGGAGGGAAGGAGGGAGGGAAGGAGGGAGGAAGGGAGGAGGGAAGGAAGTAAGGAAGGAAGGAAGGAGGGAGGGAGGGAAGGAGGGAAGGAGGGAGGAGGGAAGGAAGGAAGGAAGGAAGGAAGGAAGGAAGGAAGGAAGGAAGAAAGAAAGAAAGGAAGAAATCCATCGTCTCACAGAGTGGGGATAGGCCTTGAGAACAGCTCAGAAGCTATGCAAGCTGGGCCGTTGCTCCTGGCAAGTGTGTGTGTGCTGTTGTTAACATTACAATCCCTGCAGTTGTGTAGCATCTCTCAGTTTCCCGGGTACTTAGATAATTCATCGTCTTACTTGAAGCATATAGTGGCCTACAAGGAAACCAGCATGGAAGAGAAAGACTGCACTCTTTCTGAAGTACACATCGGGGTTTTAGAAGTTAACTTAGTTGAATAAGGTAAACGTGGTCCCTAGACCAACACTGTATGGTTACTCTTGCTTTAAAAAAAAGTCCCTGAGGGGCTGACACTGTGGCCTAGCAGGTTAAGCTGCTGCTTGGGATGCCTGCATCCTGTGTCTGATACCCACATTTCATATCAGGGGCCAGTTGCCCAGCTTTCAGTCCAGCTTCTTGTTAATGCTCCTGGGAGGCAGCAGATGATGGCTCAAATGCGTGGGCCCTTGCTGTCCCTGAGGGAGACCCAGACAGAGTTCCAGGCTCCTGACTTCCGCCTGCCCAGCCAGAATTTTTTTTTCTGTAGCTCTAAGTTGCACCAAGAAACCTAGCCAGCTCTCCCTAGGGCTGATTGAAAGTGCAGACACTGGCATCCTGGAAGGTAACTTCAAAGGCATGCTTGCCTAATGCTAATAGCATCGACTTTGTTTGTAAACATGAATTTTTATTGTATTAAGTGTCTTTGAATCTGATTGTGTGCAAGGTTTGTTATATACAGAGGTGTTCCCCAGAGCAAGGGAGAGCAGGGCATATCACACCCTGTGCTCCAGTTTGGACAAATTCCTGAGGCCAGCTTGAGACTGACAAGCTCCCTGAAATGATCTCAGTATTTTCACCTCCTCCTTTCTGCTTCTGGTTGGTGGTCTTGGGGCCCTCGGACGACAGGACCCTCAGGCAGAGCAGCTTAGGCAGTTTCACAGTTCCTGTTCAGCACCTCTTCAAACAGAACACTAACATCAAACTAGCTGTCCTAAGAAAGCCACACTCAGTGCAGCCAGTGACACGAGGAGGATGGTCTCCTTGCTGTGCATTCGTGAACAGTAGTCTCATGAGAAATATTTCCCTTTGTTGTTGAGCATTGCCACGACAGGCTTCGTGCAGCTGAACTAGAAATCTTCCGTGTGTAACACCTTCAGGATACGAACTGTTCATTAGGGACGTTCGCAGGCAGACCCACATTCAGACTGGGAATTTGCTGGAACAAGCACAATGAAGGTGCTAATGTATGTCCTGGGATACTGAGAACCTGCAGGTCTTATCGACCAACTCATCACCGCATCAGCCACCTGGCAGGCTGGTTGGAGCTCCCTGTCAACAAGCATGTTTCCATGTGAGCAGGTGTTGACAGGTGCACAGTGAGCCTGGGCTGAAACATTCTCTCCCCAGAAGGCCGATGATGTTGACAAATACTCAGCAGACAGAAACTGATGCATTCTCTATGAGACTGCACCAATCCAACAAAATAATCTACTTCCCAAGACTTCTATATATCAGTATATTTAAAAAAAAACTCCATATCCCATGAAAATTTATAAAATTACACGTTAAAAAAGACACTTTATAAATATTTTTAATGTGTATTTTTAATTTGGTTGATTTTTGTAAATTAAACATTGACTTGCTACTTTGTAGCAGGCTAATGGGAAAATTACAAAAGTGATTCACAGACGTGTGAAAGGTTGCTCACAGGGAGAGGCTAGGCCTAGTTTGAGGCAAAGTAATTACCTTCAGAGGAGCCCTCAGGGTGGGGGAGGAACTGGCAGAAGTTTTAATTAGGTTCTAGTGGAGTGGCAAGAGATAATGGTTTTAGCTGGCCATGAAAGGATTAGGTCCACTTCTCATGAGGTTTTCACAGGTTGCACATCTGTGGTCAGCTAGCTGGTGCAAGTTAGGGTTCCGACATGAAAGAGAGGCAATTTCATGGGGAAATAGCTAATTAAAATATTAATTTAAAGATAGCTGACCAGCACACCTGGCCTTTAGTTCAGAATGTGGAGGGCCTTACTAAAAAAAATTATTTTAATCCCAATAAATTGCTGAGATTTCTATTCTGAAACATCTATGACTTTTTTTACTGCTTTTATTTACATCAAATCTTTCAGCTTTACATTATCTTCTCATTTTTAACAATTATATGTATTTATTTGAGAGGCAGAGAGAGAGCACCAAAAAGAGAGAGCTCCCATCCACCAGGTAACTCCCCAGATGTCCTCAACACTGCCCCTGCCAGGACTGCAGCTGGGAACGGAGTCCTGGTATTCCAGTGTGAGACACGGGCTCCTTACACCCACCCCTGTCTTCCCATTGTAGACACTGATGTACTGCCAGTGTCAAGGCATTCTGGGTGATACCCATCTGCAGAATGCTAGATGGGAGAAGTACTCAAGTAGTTTTTAAACTTGAATACTGGAAAGGTGAGGCCACACATAACTCCTCTGAACCTGGATTTTCTTGGCTAACTTTCCGATATTCAAGGTTTTACCCTCTACCAACTTCCAGAGAAGGCGTGAGGAGGTAATATGGCTTGCAAGAATTTTCACATGGACTTTCTCTCGGTTCTCATGTACGACAGTCCCCACCCCCTCAATCACTACCACCCAATCCTTAGTTTTGCTTTCTGCAATTTTAATTACCCATGATCAACCACAGTCCAAAAATATCAGGTGGAAAATTCCATAAATAAGCAGTTCATGAGTTTTAAATTGTATACCACTCCAAGTTGTGTGATGGAATCTGGTGCCATCCTGCTCTATCCTCCTGGGACATGGGAGTCCTCCCTTTGTTGAGTGTGTCCTGGCAGCGTATGCCACCATTCGTTTGTCACACAGTAGCATCACATCAACTGGCTTGGTATCATAAGCTGTTTTTCTGCTTTACCAGTAGTAGTCACCATTGTAAATATCCTGTGCCTAATTTATAAACTAAGGTTTGTCACAGGCGTTATGTACAGCGTACTGCATTTGTCCACACAGCGCCAGTCCTGTCCATGGTTCCAGGCATCCATCGGCAATCTTTGGCCATATTCCCTGGGAGAGAAGGGAAGCCGCTGTGATGTGTTCCTGCTCTTCTGAACTACACAGTGGGATTTCATGCCATTCCCTAACATACGAAATATCCCCGTTGCTGTGTTCCTGCTCTTCTGAACTACACAGTGGGATTTCATGCCATTCCCTAACATACGAGA